ATTAATATATTAAAACCCAAACTCTGACACATACTTGTGTTCCCAAACATTTTAGATAAGGGATACTCAGCCTGAGTTTAAAAGGATCTCCTGCAATTCTAATGCATAAACAAGATTGAGAGCTATTGGTTTGCAGTTGTTCCTGGTACACATCAGTATCACTGGGAAACTTGATAGACATGAGAATTCCTCAGTCGTACATAATCAGAAATGCTGGTTCCCTGGTTAACAAGCCCTCCCGGTGATTCTGATTGGCATTAAAGTTTGAGAACCACTATGCTGGAGCACGGACTTCATAGAACTTCAAAACTACAGATCTGGGATTCTAATTAAGTATGTTTTCTTTTGTACCATGCTTTTACCAAAAAAGTCAATCATTAAACAGTGGACCCCTCATAACTCTGGATCCTTTTTAAGATAAAGCCTCACATTGTTGCTCTTGCCGTATTTCCAATAGTGCCAAGCCCACCTGGCCTCCTCTGTTGGCCTGCACCTCTATCATCAGGCAGCCCCCCCCCCGCCCCCGCAGCTGTCACCTGGATGTCTTCACAGATCTGCATGAAAGTGGAATGTTAGACAGATAAGGGACTTTTGAAAGACATATAAACTTCTTTAAATCCCTAATTTAACCTTGCTTTCTAGTCAGTCCTCAACAGTATATCCCCAGGATTTTGTATTTGATCGATAATTATTGCTTATCTTTCACATTTGAACACCTTGCCTAGTAAAATACAATAGTTGATCATTCAAGGTGACAGAGTCTCCCTGGCCATGTCATTCCCCATGATAATAAGCTCATCTCTACCTATAGTTTTGATTACTGGCATCTAGTTTCCTTCTTTCCTCCATTATCATTAATTAGTTTTATGTGCAAAAGACAGAAAAATACCCCTTGATTGTACAAAGTCGTCTGTAGTTCCATCTTTGGGCTTATAACTTGCGTTCCCCATTTGATAGCATGGGATGTTTTTTCTCTGATCCAATAGTCTGTTTTCTGTGAGCTAAAAGTGCCTTAAGGACTTCAGTGTATAGGGTTTCCTGAAAAAGGTGAATATACAAAATTAAAGTTTCGCTCTTGAACTTGCCTTATACCTGTGAGAAGGTATTAGTCTTTTAAGTATTTCCTTTCAGCACCCAGTACTTCCTCTTTAGCATCTCCCTTGTTGTGTAGAAGCTGTTTATAATTCTTCCAAGAATTCCTGACTTGTTTGCATGCTTTCTGTTGCAATATATTCAAGTTGAGAAGAAAGGGTATGGAGCCTCTTTGGAAGCAGTAAACAACATGAAGTCTCCAGAGGCTCCTGAAAAGAGAGGCACAGAGTGTTTAAAGGACTTGTCTACTGGGTGTTTCCCATGAGTTGGAGCAAGAAGAGGCCGAAATCAGAGGTTGGTTTGCTAAATCTTCTCCCTTAATATCTCCTGCCTGGGAGTGCTCAAGCTAGAAAACATGGAGTCATTCTTGACATCTCCTTTTTCCAAACTCCATAGATTCAGTCCTTCACTAAGTCCTGTCTTACTGAAGTGCTAAGTCCTACTTACAGAAAATCTGCCAAATACACAAAATCTCCTATTTCCCTAGAAACTGCCACCAGGTACAAGCTTCCACTGTGTGTCCTGGACCCCCCGCACAAGTCCTCCTCTCTCTCCAATCTGTTCTGCATGCAGAAGGTTGAGAGGGCTTTAAAAACTCTAATGAACTATGTACTCCTGCTTCTAAAAGCCCTCATGTAACCAGCCTCCCATTACATGTCACATGGCATTGGCCTGTAGCCTGAGCTACTCGGGAAACTGCGGCAGGAGGATCAGGAGTTTGGGGTCAGCCTAGGCAACACTGAGTGATCTCTCCCCCCAAAAGATATACAGAGATAAATTGTAAATCTTTTATTTGTTTTGGAAGTTTCTATTCAGCCTTATTTTATACTCTCTTGTCTTGGGTCTTCCATTTCCTGTTCTTGGAAAGAGCCATGTTCTTTCAGGGAATCTATTTCTCTCAACTCCTTGTTATGTTCCATCCTACCTCAACCTCCCCTCCATGCTCCTGACTTCCTCTGGGAAGGCTGTCCTAACTCCCCATGGTAGACTGCTACCCTAGGAACCCCAGTTTTCACACCCTCAGTAGCCCTGTCCTACTCTGACTCTGCTGGGCCCGTGACAGCTTTAACCAGCAGACCACAGAAAGAACATCACTGTGCTCACTTCAGGAGAAGCCATGCATTGGCCTGGCTACTCCTTCCTCCCTCATGGAATGCTCCCACCTGGGGATAGTCCCTTTTGAAACCCAACTTCTATGCTATGAGAAGCCCAAACTCTATGTAGAGACTACCTGTAGACATTTTGGTCAACAGCCTCAAATGAGTTCCCAGCAACAGCTGCACCCAGTGTCAGTCATGACTCAGCTCCCTTGAGTGTTCCTGCCCAGTTGAGCCACCAGCTGACCACAGCAACAGTCAGTGTCATGTGGAACAGAAACCACCACCAAGCTGAGCCCAAACAACCAACACAATGGGGAGAGATCATTAAGTGTTTTTTCTTTCGAGCCACTAAGTTTGGTGTGGTTTGATATTCAAATATAGTTCTGTGCCCTGTAATGAAATGTCAGTCAATGACACAGTATATGATGGTAGTTCCATAAGGTCATAATGGCATGGAAAATTCCTATTATCTGGTAATATTGTAGCCTTCCTGATGTTGTAGGGCC